GACGGCTGGGTGATTTGACACTTCTTGGCGGTAGCTTCACCGTGAATCAAAAAGTGCTCTCTTTGTTTACATGTTTTGTGTTTGTAGTTAAGGAATAATGGAGAATCTATAAAACAAACAGAATCCTTGTACACTGATGCCATCATTAAAATGGCATATTAAAAAGGTTTTTTAGGAGTACACAGTTTGGAACCTGAATAGGGTCTCTGGGCTATATCAATTGCACTTCAAAGGTTGGAACATGTACATCAAATTCATCATGTCCTGGGCACTTTCCTTAAATAAATTACCTGTATCTGTGCAATGGAGATCTTTCTAGCACTGAGTACACCTACATCAGGGCTTGAAGTTTCCACTCGCCAACAACGAAATTCACTCCTGGTGGCTGCGTCATAGATCATCCAAGCTTGCAAGTAACATTTTTTGGCCACGCTCTGCATGGGGACGCTGAATTTTCCTCATAGACATGCATTGATTAAATTCAATGCATCTCTATGAGGAGGTGCTGATTGGCCAAGACTGCATTTGGCCCCACCCCGTTGCCGATTTTAGCCAAGCATTGGATTGGCTGGCTAAAAATCTGCAATTCTGATGATGTCAGCGCCGGTGGACTCGAGCGGCACTGAAAATAAGGTGAGTTTTTACCTTTTCTAATGAGCCTAACAGGGGGCAAGCCACCTAAATGGTGGGTTTAGCACTATAAGGTCAGGAATACCTGGTTGTGTCCCTGACCCTATAGTGTTCCTTTAACGATATACTTCTGAGACCTGCACAGTGATAATATCCATAATGATTCTGCTTGTTAACATGTCACTGTAATGACAAGACACTCTTTCCTTGGTGTTACTGTTATAGGGAATCTAAAACAATTTGTCGAATACAATAAAAGTTTTGAGAAACAAGACAAATCCATATTTTTAAATGAAAGTAGGGTAATAACGTCAGTGGAATATGTAGAAGTGTGAAGGATTTGCTGAAATATATGACTGTATATTCTTTTTCAATCATATAACAATTCAGGGTTTTCACTCTTGTATTGCCCACAGGTATATGGGCGGCTCATCTGAGATAAGTCCATGCTCTCACATCCAACACTATGACCCTGACAGAGCATTAACGGATTACATCACTCGTCTAGAGGCACTGCAGAAGAGGCTAGGAAGTGTGCAGTCAGGTAAACCATAACAAGCATGTGGCATCATACAATGTCTCTGGATACTTTGTTATAGGTCCCGTGCATTGGTCAGCTGTCATACAGTTTATCCTACACTGCAGTGTAGACCTCAGTAATCTGTATGAGTTCTCTTACTGTTTCTTTTTTATAATCAAGGCTTGTTATTAATGCAACTGTTGAGCTACATGTTCCTTGATCCTCTGCTGCAAGCAGTTTTGAGGGAGAATATGTGCAGCATTTTCACTGAAAACCGTGATCACATAAGAAATCTCCTCCACTTCCTGTTTTTTAAAACTAACTGTATCTGTGCAATGGAGATCTTTCTAGCACTGGGTACACCTACATCAGGGCTTGAAGTTTCCACTCGCCAACAACGAGTAGAAATTCACTCCTGGTGGCTGCGTCATAGATCATCCAAGCTTGCAAGTAACATTTTTTGGCTACGCTCTGCATGGGGACGCTGAATTCTCCTCATAGCGATGCATTGATTCAATTCAATGCATCTCTATGAGGAGGTGCTGATTGGCCAAGACTGCATTTGGCCCCACCCCCTTGCCGATTTTAGCCAAGCATTGGATTGGCTGGCTAAAAATCTGCAATTCTGATGATGTCAGCGCCGGTGGACTCGAGCGGCACTGAAAATAAGGTGAGTTTTTACCTTTTCTAATGAGCCTAACAGGGAGCAAGCCACCTAAATGGTGGGTTTAGCACTATAAGGTCAGGAATACCTGGTTGTGTCCCTGACCCTATAGTGTTCCTTTAACGACATGCAATTGTTTGAATAACCAGTGGATTACAGCAATGTTTTGTTTTAATAATGTTTTCTATAAATAGGAGTCTTGTTACACCGTTTCCTACCTGCCATGGGCAGGTTATGCCCATTGTGTCTATATTTGTATTTTCTCATCTTCTGACCGGGACATGACTCTGTGGTTCCTTTTTTGAGACGGCTGAATATCGCACTGAATACAGTTACTAGAATGATTAGTCTAGCAAGGGAGAAGGATATATTCATACAGTATTTATACAAGGAGCACTAATTCATCAATAATTCAAATCAAGTATTTGCTGGCAGGTTTTGAAATGGACATTCCCACCTTGCAGTCTTGATATTTAAAACCCTATGAGTGGGTTATGCAATTTTATTTCTTACATGATTTTATTCTGAAAGCACTTTCCATGGTAGAGATACGATATAATTACGGATAACTGATATCTCTACTCTATTTACTCATCAATGGAAAAAATAAACATATATGTATAACACACACACATTTTGCTTTTGTTCATTTTGTCACCCTATTTTTTTCCCCCTTATTTCCTGTACATTAATATTGATGTATGATTTTAATTTTTTTAGCACATGATGGTGAAGGAGCTTATACCTGCCAACTGGCAATAAATATTCTCTGTTTATTTACTTGTATACTAGACGTTTCATTTTCATTGTCTTTTCCCACACAGGTTCAACTGTAAATAATACGACACACTATGGTATACGAAGATAATACCCTTGCAATACTTGAATTGCCTTCCCTGTGCTGCTTCCCTATTTCCGAATTGCATAGATCTCGGGACCATCATCAGCCCAGTGAACAGTCGGACATTATTCCATGAACACATCGAGCAGTCTGGAATTTCTGTATATGAGCGTTTTGTGTTTTGTTTTTAAATCAGCCATTAAATTACTTGTACATTTTGTGGATTTCTAATTTAAATGATTAAGTTATATGTATTTATCAAACGGGTGAAAGGAACTTTTCTGTAACTGGAGACCTTGCTTGAAGGCCAAGATTACTGTCTTGCCCTAAAATTTGCTACTGGCGACGCGGATTGAACATAACATTTGTAGAGAACTATTTTTGTAATGGTAGGAGTTTCGAATTTTATGGGTATTTTGTCAAGGTACTGGAATAAATTTCATCATTTTAACAATTTGAACTGTTTTTACCATTCAACTTTATGTCGGTACTGATTTACATACATGTTTGTCTTTAATTCTCTATATTACGTGTACTATAGTGTTATCAGATGCTATTTGAAAATGGCACATTCAGGATGTGAATTAACATTTGGTAGAAAGGGCATATTTCCCAGAGCCCTTGGCCCTTTAAGGCCCCTCTAAGCAGACAGTTATATAGGGACAACATCCATTATCGCCTATGGGCCCAAAATGAAATAGTCACAATATATATGTAACCATACCTGTTGCTTTATTTTAGTCTGTAAATATATGTCAGCATTTTCATATATTTTAGGAATTCACCTGTGTTGTCCTTAATTTACCTGAATGTTTCTTTACAAAAAGGTTTGAGATGCTCATATTGACTAGTAGTCAGAATAACTGCTTCAAATCCTAGTTTTATCCTAAGTAATCCAACACAGACCTGTGCAGGTTAGGAGGAAGTGACAGATGTAAGGAACTAGCAAAAACGAAGTGTATTTTGAATGCAGAAAGGTACATAGTTACATGGGCTGAAAAGAGACATGTGTCTATTAAGTTCAGCCTTCTTCACATTAGTTTTTTGCAGTTGATCCAAAAGAAGGCAAAAAAAAACAAAAAACAGTTTGAAGCACTTCCAATTTCTCAACAAACTAGGGGGGGAATCCCTCTTGACCCCAGAATGGCAGTCAGATGTATTTTTGGATTAAGAAGCAATTACCCTACAATTGAAAGATTATATCATTAAATATTCTGTTTTTGCAAGTATGCATCTAGTTGCTGTTTAACCCCCTAAGGGCCGCGGAGGTATGAGGTGCGTCCGACAGAAAACGGTCCGTAAGGACCGCAGACATACCTCATACTTTCGAGGTAAATTTGAGCACTGGAAGCAATTGTGAGCATTTCCAGCCGCTCTATGGGTATTACACAATGCCTTGATATCGAGGCATCGTGGAATACCCCCCCACACTGCCGGGCACTCGAATGAGCGCGATCACTTCCAGGCTGCCGCACATGGCGCCCAGCAGTGTAGACAAGAGCATCGGAAGCCTTCAGACAGGCTTCTGATGCTCTGCCTGTACTGAGCATGTATACATGTTCAGGTGAGTGCAGCTGTCTTGGTTTCATGTATCTATGAGATATATATATCTCTATCTAATACGTATATACCTTATATACAACGTCATACTAAGTATTTTTTTATTTATATATATATATATATATATATATATATATACACATATATAAACAGTAAAATTACACACGTGTATATAATATATAATAAATATATATATATATATATATAGATATCTATCCATCCACATAGATGAAAGGTGCACTCACAGGTCTTATGCCAAAGTTTTTTTTTTTATTTACTTGTGCAAATTACATGTTTGCACCCAGGCAAGAAACTTTTCGTTATTGATTGGATAAGGGTGAGTGCCAAGGTGACTTACATATATATATATATATATATATATATATATATATATATATATATATATATATATATATATATATATATATATATATATATATATATATATATAAAATACCAGTAGCTCCTGCACTCACGCTCAAATTACCCTTGTTGCCCGGGTGCTAGCAAGTTATGGCCATCCATACAAAAATCCAACAAGTAGCTGCACTCACGGTAAATAAAAAATCAAAATTTATTGAAGATAAGTTAAAACATCCACGATCAACGTTTATATATATATCCCAGTAAACGGAAAGCACTCCAGGGTCTTTGAGATATGGTAAAATGTAACGTTTAATTCATATAAAAAAATAATAAAAAATCAAAGTTTCGGCTCACATCTAGAGCCTTCTTCATCCATTTTAGGAGCTGCCAGCAGAGGGACTGACCGCTGTCAGGCAGTCCCCCAGGCTTCTAAAAAGTTAAAAAATAAATAAATAAAATAAATATTATACATATACAGGTGGTCCTCATTTAGCGACCTACCTACGACGGCTCGCACTTACGACCAGGCGTAAGTGTGAGCCATCGTGGGGATAACCTGCTCTGGTGCGCATGTCTATGTTTGGGGAAACTTTCCCGAACATAGACAAATGCACCAGAGCAGGGACTCCCTTAACTCAGGGGTGCTCAAACTCCAGCCCCCCCAGATGTTGCTGAACTACAACTCCCATAATTCTCTGGCTATGTAATTCAAAGAATCATGGGAGCTGTAGTTCAGCAACATCTGGGGGGCCGGTGTTTGAGGACCCCTGCCTTAACTCCTCATTTACCGACCAATTCGTTCTATGACAGGGTCGTAGGAACGGAACACAGTCGGTAAGTGAGGAGGGTCTGTATATTATATGTATAATAGACTATAAAATAATTAAAGCATTTTATATGTTATACATATATAATTTAATTATAATTGTACATATATATGTGTAATATATAAAATGCTTTAATTGTATTATTATTATGATATTTATAGAGCGCCGTCAAATTCCGCAGCGCTTTACAATGGGTGGACGAACAGACATGTAGTTGTAACCAGACAAGTTGGACACACAGGAACAGAGGGGTTGAGGGCCCTGCTCAATGAGCTTACATGCTAGAGGGAGTGGGGTAAAATGACACAAAAAGGTAAGGATAGTAATAACTCCTGACTGATTCCTCTTCTGCAACTGTCACTAGTCTAATAACAGTTTAATTGATATGCTTTTATGAAGTGGGTTTTTAACGATTTTTTTGAAGGAGTGGAGACTGGGTGAGCATCTAACGGAGGAGGGAAGCGAATTCCACAGGAACGGTGCAGCCCTCGAGAAATCTTGAAGGCGAACATCAGAGGTGGGAGTACGGACAGAAGATAGACATAAGTCTTCAGCAGATCGTAAGGGCCTAGACGGGACATACTTGTGTATAAGGGAGGATAGATAGGTGGGATCAGCATTATGCAGAGATTTGAAAGCAAGAACCAGAATTTTAAACTGAGCTCTATATTTTATAGGAAGCCAATGTAGGGACTGACAGAAGGGTGAGGCATGGGAGGTGCGGGCGGACAGGGAGATGAGCCTCGCCGCCGCATTCATTATGGACTGTAACAGCGCTAGTTGGGAGCACGTGAAACCACTGAAAAGTGGATTACAGTAGTCAAGGCGAGAAAGGACAGTGGAATGGACCAGCACCTTAGTCGCATCTGGTGTTAAGTAGGGGGCGGATGAGCGCAATGTTTTTGAGATGGAAATGACAGGATTTGGCGATAGATTTAACATGAGGCTTGAAGGAGAGGTCGGAGTCAAAGAGAACACCTAGGCAGCGAGCCTGTGTGGTGGAGCTGATGGTAGCACCGTTGACTTGGAGGGAGACAGACACAGGAGTAACAACACTTGAGGGAGGAAAGACCAGAATTTCAGTTTTGGTCAAGTTTAGTTTAAGGAAGTGGGCAGCCATCCAGTTAGAAACAGCAGAGAGGCAGTCAGAGACACTAGTCAAGAGGGACGGGGAGAGGACAGGTAGATTTGCGTGTTATCTGCGTAGAAGTGATATTGGAAGCCAAAGGAACTAATGAGTTTACCAAGGGAGGCAGTATAGATGGAGAACAGTAGGGGACCAAGGGCTGAACCTTGGGGGACACCAACAGAGAGGAGTTGGGGAGAAGAAGCAGAGCCAGAGAAAGAAACATTGAAAGAGTGCTGGTCTTGTAGACCGATATTGCGGAGGATGAGGATGAGTAGTGACCACTAGATTTTGCAGTGAGTAGATCATTGGATATTTTGGTCAGTGCCGTTTCCACAGAATGCTTAGCGCAGAAACCAGACTGAAGCGGGTCCAGCAGAGAGTTGGACTCGAGGAAGTCTGTCAATCTCGCATACACAATTCTTTCAAGGATCTTGGATGCAAAAGGCAGTAGCGAGATAGGACGATAGTTGGATGGGGAGTTAGGGTCAAGATTGGGCTTCTTTAGAATTGGGGTTACAGTTGCCTGTTTGAGGCGCAATGGAAATATACCAGAGGAGAGAGAGAGATTGAGAATTTTAGTGAGAGATGGAGAAAGAGAAGATAGAGTACGGATGAGATGTGAGGGAATTGGATCTAGGGAGCAGGTAGTGGGGCGGGAGGACTGGAGCAGAGCAGAAACCTCTTCCAATGTAGCGGGTGCGAATGAACATAGAACAGCAGAGGGAGTGAAGTTAGGGCAAGTATTGTAAGGGGAAGAAGAAAGATGAGAGATCTCTTCTCTGATTGTAGAGATCTTGTCAGTGAAGTGAGTTGCAAAGTCTGAGGCGGTCAAGTTAGCAAGTGGAGGAGGAACAGCAGGGCGAAGAGAGTTAAATGTGTGAAATAGTCGTTTGGGTTCGCGGGAGAGCGTGGTTATGAGGGTATTGAAGTAATTAACTTTTGCAGAGGAAAGAGCCAAGCTGTATGAGCTCAGCATAAATTTATAGTGGAGAAAGTCAGATGCACAGTGAGACTTTCTCCAACAGCGTTCAGCAGTTCTGGAGCATTTTTGGAGGTATCGAGTGAGCTTGGTGTGCCAGGGTTGTTGTTGGGGGGGCCTGCAGTGTTTAAATGTACAAGGTGCCATGATGTCTAGTTGAGAGGAGAGGGTGGAATTGTAGAAGGAGGTTGCAGAACTAGGACAGGTGAGGTTTGAGATAGGTAAAAGGAGAGTTTGGAGATTAGTGGATAAATGCTCTAGGTCAAGACATTGGAGGTTTCTGTGAGTGATGTTCAGACGGTGGTGTCAATTGGGTCTTAGGTATGCCAATGTCAAAAATCAGCAGATGGTGGTCAGATAGAGGAAAAGGAATATTGGAGAGATTAGAGGCAGTACAAAGGTTGGTGAAGGCAAGATCAAGAGGTGTTTCCTGCTGTATGGGTTGCTAAATTGGACCATTGCGTAAGGCCAAAGGAGGAGGTTACAGAGAGCAGACGAGAGGCATCAGTGCAATTGGGGTTATTGATTGGGATATTGAAATCCCCAAGTATAAGGGAAGGAGTGCTAAATGAGAGGAAGTGGGGAAGCCAGGAAGAAAAGTGCTCAATGAATAGTCTAGGATAAGCGGGAGGGGCGGTAGATGATAGCAATTCTTAAAGGAGTGGGTTTAAATAGGCGGACAGTGTAAACTTCAGAAGAAGAAAAGGATAGGGCAGTGGGAGTTATGATTGGTTGAAAGGTACATTGAGGGGAGAGAAGGATGCCTACGCCGCCTCCTTTACAGTTGAGTCTGGGAGTGAGAGAGAATTGTAGCCCATCAAAACATAGAGGCAGGAGTAGCGCTATCAGAGGGGGACAGCCAGGTCTCTGTAAGTGCAAGCAGTGTGAGTGAGTTTGAGATTGAAAAGTCGTGTATGGTTGTTGATTTTAAAATTACTGCAGATGGAGCGGGCATTCCAGAGTGCACAATTAATTTTGGTAAGTGAGGGTAAAGGGCAGGGTATTGTGATGAGGTTGGTGGGGTTTCTGGTTGTTAGTGTGTGTGTAGAGAAGGTGAAGGGCCCTGGATTGGGAGAGACATCACCAGCTGCTAGAAGTAGGAGGAGAGAAAGTGACAGGAGGTGTGAATGGGTTTTGTATGCATGGGGGTCTAGGATGAGATGGATTGTGGGTTGGAGAGAGTGTAGAAAAATGAGTAAGGCATGAGATGAGAGAAGGGGGGAGTATAGCAGAGAATGGCATATGTGGATGAGTGAAGTGGGTGTAACGAGAGATTTTTATACTGAGGGAGACTGTGGAAATAAAGAGGAGGAGAGAACAGATCATTGCTAAGCTGTGAAAAATAAAAATTGGAGATAATTGGAATATCAAGAGCAGGTGAAGGTGTTTTATGGGTTAAGAAAGTGCAGGAGTGTACTAATAAGAGGCAGGTTTTTTTTAACCTAACTAAAATGTAGGTGTGACAGACTATCTATAAATGTAATAATGAGTGTGGGGAGGAGAGAGTGGGCATCAGGCTTGCTCACTGAAGGAATGGGCTTGCAAAGTTGGGGAATCAGGCTGTTGAATAAAGAGATGTGAGGGTCAGAAAGCTTGCAATAAAGTAAGGGAGGGGGAAATGTATCTAGGTACAGAGATGAAGAGATGGATATTCAAATAAAACACATATCAATAAGAGAAGGGAGGGGTCAGAGGTCAGTCACAAATCAGAGGGGAAATAGAGGAATGCATATAGGTGAATAAAACAATTACATACAGGGCTAGCAAAACTACACTTTAGCATAACAGACAAGATATAAATACAAGAAAATATACAATGTACACAGGATATATTAAATAAAAATAAATGAAGGTGTGCAGGATAGAGTCTTAGTGTGTGTGTATATATATATATATAGATAGTTTATAAAAACGTTAACTTTGACCAGCGTTTGTGATTAAGTGGCTACTACAAAAGACTGGACATACCCCATTTTGAATACCCTGGGTTGTCTACATTTGAAAATAGTATGCCATGATGGGGTTAATTCACATTTCTGGACTACCATTTGGTCTCAAAAGGCAACACAGACCCAGCAGACCAATCTGACAAACTAAATTGGGCAAGCCCTATATGGACCCTGTAACGTTCCAAAACACCATAAAATCTGTACATGGGTAGTATTGTTATACTTGGGAGTCTTTGCTGAACACAAATATGAGTGAAACAGTAAAACTTATGACGATGATATCACCAGTAAAAGTGCAGTTTTTTGTGTAAAATGCAAAAAAGCTAACTTTGGCCAGCATTTTTGAATGGTTGTAGAATTAGTGCATGTTAAAATACCACCATTTGAAATACCCTAAGGAGTTTACTTTTCAAAAACATATGGTTTGATGGGGGTAAATTACATTGGCCGGCTTAAAAAATGTCCAATAGGACATGGGTGCATGATGACCAGCGGTGAAAATTCCAAGTTGGAAAACTGGAATGCGCACCCTCCAAAGAAGTTCTTTTAGCCCCCAGAGAACCCGAAACACTTATACATGGGGGTATCACTGTACTCAGGAGATGTTGCTGAACACATATTGGGGTGTTCTTTGGCAGTAACTCTTAAAGACTTTTCATCATTTTATTTTATAGTAAATTATATGAAATTATGAAAATAATGGTATCTCTAGAAAGATCATTTAATGGCAAGAAAAACTATATATATGTGTGGGTACAGTAAATGGGTAAGAGGAAATTTACAGCTAAACACAAACACCGCAGAAATGTAAAAAGAGCCCTGGTCAGGGTTAATATGTAAAATGCAGGAGGAGGGGCACAGGAGGCATACAAGTTGTGTTGGTGCCTGAATTGCCCCTTTAATGAAACTTCTTGTACCAATGCTTTTAAAGCGGCTCTTTCGTCCCCATCCAAAATGGGTAAATCATAAAGATAGAATAATAAAGATAGAATCTTTATGACATACTCACATAGACTGTGTTGTAATTTCACTGAAATTCTCTGCACACTATCTCCTGTGATATTACATTGGAAGGTGGGCATATTGCAGTTTTATTGAATTAATCCTCAGACAAGTTATTTTGAAAATCACGCAAATTGAAAGTTTGTTTAATAAAACCTATATACACAACTCAACTTGTCAATCGAACATAAAATTTTATACACAATTATTTCACATATTTTATAAAATGCATAACTTGCACAGGGTGTTTGTTAAACTTTGAATTCCAGATATTTAGCCAAACCTAGATTATATGGAACCATTACCTAGCTCAACTATAGTCACAGCTTAGATATTTGTTCCTTAAATCTGCTTTCAAATTTCAGTTCACTATAGAGTTTAGCAAATAAATCCCACAATTGCAAGTGTTTTTTTTTTTTTTTTTTTAAACCCCACCCCCCTTCTTAATTTAAAATTTTCAAAGTAAAATGTATCTTCTGTTGAGCAGTTAAAGTTCATGGATTAATGTTTCCTTCTTTTATATCTGATGACTGGGTTGTTTGGGGTGTGAATCATGGTGGTATAATTTATGGAGGGGAAATATCCATCAACCAGTTCAAACTCATACAAACGTAGCATTGTAGACCAAATGGTTTTAATCTGGACGTAAGCAAAATTCTCACCAATGCAACGATGCCGACCTATAATAAAAGAAAGTGTAGATTTATTATACATCAACACAATCCTTTAAAATCAGTACATGCAAAACATAAATGAGTAAAAAGCATACATTGATTGATATACTGTGATATTGCAGCCATTCGTATTTGCATAAATTTAGAGATATACTTGAAAAAAATCAAAAAAATCAAAAAAAAAAAAAAAGAAAGGATACTGGGTGCAGTTTGGCATTTGGTGTGCATAGACTATACCTCCCATCCAATCACAGTGCTATGTGTCATTTTACACAGCGTGGGAAAGTTCTTTGGAATTTTCCCACGCTGTGTAAAATGACAAAGAGCACTCTGATTGGCTTAAACCCACCAATCAGAGTGTTCTTAGCCTAATTGCAGGGCGTGGCAAGGCTTTATAAGCCTTCCCCCACCCTGCAGAGCTCAGTCTGCGCGGAGCCCTCCATGGGTGACGATGGATTATTTTTTGCGCTCTGGTTTTTTCTTTTTCGTCGGGTTTTTTTTTTTGCGCTCGGGATTTTTATTTTATTTTCAATTCGACGGTTATGATGGTTTTTTATTTGGCCTTTTTTGGGGCTGAAAAAAGAAGATTTGAGAAAAAAGAAGACATCGAATGGTAAGTTTACTTTTATTTTACAGGTTAGCTATTTTATTCCCGCCTCACTATTTTTTAGGGTGAGGGGGGTAGGTAGGGACTTTTTATTTGGGGGGGTGACTAGGGGCTTGGGGACCCCTAGTCACCTTGGGGGGGGATTTACTTAGGGCCCCCACCCGCAGCCCAGGGGTGGGGGCCGGGGGGGAGGACAGTAGGTCCCCCCCCTCATTATCTTTGTGGCCCCCACCTGCAGCCCAGGGGTGGGATGACAGTAGGTCTCCTCCCCCCCCCCCCATTATCTTTGTGGCCCCCACCCGCCGCCCAGGGGTGGGGGCTGGGGGGGGAGGACAGTAGGTGTCCCCCCTCATTATCTTTGTGGCCCCCACCCGCCGCCCAGGGGTGGGGGCCGGGGGGGAGGACAGTAGGCCCCCCCCCTCATTAGTCTTTAGGGCCCCCACCCGCCGCCCAGGGGTGGGGGCCGGAGGGGGGGTGGACAGTAGGTCCCCCCCCTCATCACTATGGCCCCCACCCGCCGCGCAGGGGTGGGGCAGTAGGTCCCCCCCCTCATTATCAATACGGCCCCGACCCGCCGCGCAGGGGGGGGCGGCAGTAGGTCCCCCCCCCCCCTCATTATCAATATGGCCCCCACCCGCCGCGCAGGGGTGGGGGCGGGGGGGGGGGGATAATAGGTACCCCCCTTATAGTTATTAGGGCCCCGCTCAGGGGTGGGGGCTGGGGACAGTGATTTCATCACATTCTTTATGGCCCACCCACGCCCAGGGGTGTGTGAATCCTGGGGAGGAGAGTAGGTCTCGGGGGAGGAGAGTAGGTCTCCCCCCCCCCCCCTTCAACCAATAAGAGTCCCTGTGGGTTTTAAAATTCGCCTGCCCATTGAAGTCTATGGCGGTTCGCGAACATTTGCCGAAGTTCGCGTTCGCCATTCAAGAACCGAAAAATTCACGTTCGCGACATCACTAATGATAAGTCTACCAGAATAGTCTTTGCTGAACCACAATATAATTATGTAGGTGTAATGACTCTGTGCCTCAATCACTGGCATTACCTGCACCAAAAGGAACATATGCAAACTTCTCTCCTGCTGCTGGATTTTCATGAAGGTATCTGTCTGGGTTAAAATCTGTATTTTGTACCCATGTGTCTCGTAGGCGATGGTTAACAGTTGGAGACACGCATACCTGGTGTCCAGGAGGAATCACGTAACCTCCAACAGTCTCCTAAAAAGACAAACAGAATTCTTATCCAGTACAGCTGCAGAATTTTTTTTTCATTTGTCCTTTTCCAAAGATAAGAATGAAGAACATTTTGAGCTACTAAAACCTAGAAGAAATTTTAATATGTAACTGTACAATGTTATGTCATAAGTTTGAAATGCAAGAAAAAAAAAAAAAAAAAGAACTTTGGAAACCTATTTTGAATACATACTTAGGATTTAATATTTTACCACCAGTTTAGCCTTGTCAATTCGATTATATTTTTGCTCCAGGTGTTATGGGAGAGAGTATGAGATGGAAGTACATTGTGTACCAATCTTACATGAGCACAGGAGCTTTATAGGTAGTTACTGGGTACGACTCTATGTTAGCCACATATTGAATTCTACTTCCATGGGACATGAATTCATAGAGCAATTTCCCACTACCTACTCAAATATAAAATATACAAGGAACCGGAGAGTATCTGAATACAAGAAATTACATACACTCAAATTTTACTAGGAAACTGCTTCATACCAAACACCTACAGGTAAACTGCATTGTATCTGTTTTAGATGTTACATTGAGACATATTTAGAAGAATGTGTAGCAAGCTCTATGTAGCACTGCTATTATGGTGTATCCGATACAGACACACACATATAGCTGGCAAGACCAGCCGTATCACAGTGCATCATCCAATGTGGAGCCCTTAAGCAGGGGAAACATAGTGCGGCCTGATAAACCAACATGTTACGAGTACATTCTGCAGAAACCTTAAATGTACTACTGACCTGGGGTGTCCTAGCCATTCTCATCATTGTCATAATGGGGGGTCTCAGTCTTAGAGTTTCCTTTATACACCGGTCCAGTACTTGCATATCCTTTAGCTGCAAATGAGAATGTACATTAACACTGTATGGTATTTTTAAAAGGATAAGACTAAAGTGAAGTGGCTGTTCCACTAGAGATGGAGAAATTTGGACATCCACTTCACCAAATGATATCTCTAGATTTATTACAATAATTGTTAGGTATAACCTTTATTAAGCCGACTAGGCAAAGCAAAAATGATAAATAATAATAAAGTAGTAGTGAAACACTCGTGAAAAAACACGTGAAGTAAATTTTTTTTCTATATTTGTACTGTATGGTATTGTTTACATGATCAAGGAAAATGTACATGATCTCTGTATGTTAGCCCCATAATTAGTTTGTTAGGTAAAACGTCACTGTAATTTAGGATACACTGAACAGAATAAGATGTTTAATCATTAAACTGATTATTTTCTAACTTGGCTTTTAGCCGAACAATTATCCAAGCTGCACTGTTACTTACTGGTTGTTGAATACACCCCTAAGAATATATTTTAGATGATAAAATAAATAAAACATAATAAGCTTGGAAACATGGCTGGCATATGCAGAGAGGGGGGACCTTTTACACTACCCATTACTCAATATAAATTTCTGTCTTTAGCAACAGGGGCAGTGGCGGTGGATAATAGCCAGGAAAAGAAAATTATGGTAAGTCTGAAATAAGTCATGTTTATTGCTTTTCAAACTATCACAAACTGCAGACTTGAGAAGATTGTTTGCCCTATGGCTAGTGGGTGGTGATGTAATTTACAACTACTGTGCCAAGAACCAGCCACTGCAAGGAGGTTAAAGTAGAAAATTATAATTAAAGTTGTCATACAGATACATATACTGTCAGGGCCGTCTTTAATATGGATTGGACCCTGGGCAAACATTTGCTTGGGCCCCCTGAACCCGGTCGTCCCCTCCCTGGCATGCAATCATGCCCCCCACCCCAACGCAGAGGCGGACGTAAAGTAGAGAGGGCTCTGGTGCATGAATTATTTTGGGCAAGAGGGGGCAAAAGGTAGATCCCCATCTGTCATGCAACGCCAACAATGCTTTGACAGCTGGGGCGCTACCATTTTTCCTATGCATGCAGGGTTATATTTAGCACTGAGCAGTATTTGTGTGTTTGAGTGTAAGCATGTTTTTGTATGGAGTATGTTTGTGTGAATGTATGGGTGTGTTTGTATGTGGAGATGGAAATTAAATGCAAGTATGCATTTATGTGTAGTGTTGGTTTATGAATACACTGGTGTGTTTATATATAATTTTGTTGTTTAAAAAAAGAGGTGTGTTTATATGTAGTGTTGAAGTTTGAATGCAGGTGTGTATTTGCGTGTAGTGTTGAATGCTGAGATGTATGCACAAATACACATGCACTGTCACAAACACACACAGTGATACACATACACACACAGAAACACTTGCAGATACACAGATATACACAATCATACAGATGCAGCTATACAGACACATTTATACACACTGACACACACACATACAGACACACAAACTGGCACACATGCAGACACACAGATGCACACACGCACACACACACGCAGATACACTAACATACAGATACACAGACATACACAATGACAACATACAGACACACAGATACATAACCTGACAAATGCAGATACAAACACTGACACACATGCAGATACACACATTGGCTACATACAGATACATGCACAGGTATACACACTGACACACACACAGACACTGTGACAGACATACATACTGACACATACACAGACATACTGACTGGCACACAGACATACATACAGACACACAAACTGACACATGTATCTCTAAGATAGAGATATATATATATATATATATATCTCTATCTATCTCTAGCTTACAGATACACTGTTTGAATAATTTCTTTTTAGCAGAGTCCAGCCTGTGGGATCTGAATAACCAGCATGTTCCCTGGAATATTACCAAGAGGTAAACCTGACTTATTGTTGGGAATTTCCCTCCTTGTTGGGGTAACAATTTCCACTCTCCACTAACCTCACCTGGTGAGGTGCCATGGACCCTCCAGGTTTACAGTGGCAATTAACTTTTAGACCTTTGAAGGAGCTGAATTTTCACCCTGCTATAACAGCTCACCTGATCATAGTTTAGAGATGGCAGATCTTCTCCACACACAGCTTTCTGCTCCGCAAAGCACTGATCCTGAAAAGATTTATTTTTAGCCAAGAAAAATCCCATCCAGGCACTGGTGGTGGAAGACGTGTGTTGTCCAGCTAATAGTAAACCAATTAGCATTCCTGCAATCTCATCATTGGTTAATGGGGTGCCATCCCTAGGAGAAAGGAGGAAGATTATGTACAGAAAAGCAATAAAGATTAATTATATACAATGAATTTTACTGTACAGGTTTGTGGCCTTAGAACAAAGAAACCCCATTTTGTCTTCAGGGTTTTTCCTCGAATCTCAGTCCACAGATGTGTGAAGCAAGTGGGGGGTTAATTCATTAAATCAGTCATTGACAGTGAAGGTAATATATACATTTTATGTTAAAATAGCAGAGTTGGTTAGAGAATATCTTCAATGGTTATTCGGCTATATTGGTGGAACGTTGCGATCCTCGTGTCAATTGCCCACTATTCCCAGGTTAATGAATACATTACAGAGTGTCACTCTTCAAAGCGTAACGGAGGAGAAGAGAGTGTTCAGCTCAGGGTGCTATTAATGACATTATGTTAAAGCATGCAATGTTGGTGCCTTACATTTCATTCTTTACTTTAACTAATCTTGCATTACCAGTCTAGCTTAATTAACAGGGAGCTAAATAGATAGAATAGGATGGCTCTTACACGGTCAAATATACCAAATGCAATAATTGTTACCCATTAAACTATGAATTATCAGGCTACAATAAATAGAATAATGTTGCAAGCCAGTTCAGCTATTGGGACTTAAATTATAGCATTAGGAATACAAACATGTCTTCCTAAAACTAATGTGTCTCTGTCTCTAGTTAGAGTCAAGACACTTAAAAAAAAAAAAAAAAAAATGAGACTCCCTTGGCACTGCCCAACTCTCGTCCTCCTGAGAGGTCATCGATGAGGCATGGATTCCCTATCTCTGCTCCAATCCAGTGGTCCTTGTAGAGGAGCATTGGGGACCTACTGTGCATGATTCCAATGCTTTCCTATGAGCTTCCTTATCAGTGACCGAATTTTACTGTGACTATGATTATCATTATTATTAGCAGTTATATAGTGCCAGTGTATTGCTTTACAATATTATAAGGGGGAGAATTTAATAATCAATATTAAATGTTACAGGAACAATAGTTTGATGAGGACCCTACTCAAACAAGTATACAATCTAGAGAAGGTGGGGTATTTAAAAAATAAATAAAATAAAAAACAAAAATAGGAAGGGCAATTGTAGCATGGTTATGGGAAGCGGGGGCAATGTCAGAGTAAAGAGAGCAGTTAAGACATGTGTTAAGGACAGCACAAGACAAAAGGAGAGAGATCTGATAATGTAAGATTGGAAGGCATTATGTTGTGTGGCGAGAAGAAAGGAGAAGTGCAGCATTACACATTATTATTCAATGCTTTCCTATGGGGTTTCAGGTGACGCTGGATGTCATCATGCATAGCATGAGGACGTCCAGTGTCAGTTAGGTAACGATGAAAACTCAGGGCACTCCCTTATCTACTAAGCAGCAACTTTGCTGCTGGCAGATTGTTAGTTTTTGTTTTTTTTTAAACACCTAATCTAGGCAAAAAATAATGGGAGTTTAGTTACATTTTACGATCATACATGGCATAAGCCGGCCACAATGTCAATTTACCCCATCTTTGGCAGGTCCTACTCGAACAGTCAAATGTCTGTTAAATGAGCTACTTACTCGGGGAAAAATTTCCAATCTCGCGTTCTCTGCAGTACAAGGCTAAATAGGGCCCTGGGATGAGGCACCTGTGACAGGGAGGGGTGCAGTGTCAGGTGACCAAAACTTACCTAACAGCCCAGAAGTCCCTCTAGTAGCGGTTTGGTAGATAGCCACTAGAGGTGGAGTTAACACTGCAAACCTGCAATTATTACTTTTGCATGGTTAAGGGACCTGGGGAACTGCACACAGACCACTTCACTTAGCTGAAGTGGTCTGGGTGCCTATAGTGTCCTTTTAATCTTTTCAGTAACGTAGCATGAAAAGCTATCAGCTGCAAGGTTAGTTGGCAAGTGGCCACAACAGGGTGAAGAAGAGAGTGGAAGGTATCAAAGAGACACCTGGGATTGTGGGAGAATGAACTAATGATAGGAAAAATATGATTGTTTAGAAAAGGTGAAGCCTGCGCTGTACGAGCGCAAGATGTATTGTAATGGAGAAAGTCTGACAAGGTGTGAAACTTCCGGCAGCATTCAGCTAAATGGGAGCATATCTGCAGATAGCGGGTTGACTTGTTGTGCCACAGTTGGAGGCACATCCTCCTTCAGGTTTGCAGAGATGGGTTTAAATAGGCAAATTGTTTGAACTTCAAATGATGAGAAAGAGAGGGAAGGGTTTGTAAGTAGAGGATTTTCAGTTTAGATATTGTGACCTACAATATGAAATTCACACTCTCTTGAATAACTTCATAAGTTATTTCGCAAGCCAATTGTCACAAGACAATAATATTAATTCCTTATTTTATACATACTTGTACGTTGCGTCCACAAGTGTTTGCAACATATCATCGTCAGGATCTTTCGACTGCCTGCGCTTCTGGATCACCTTGTAGAAAATATTCTTGATTTCTCGGTGAGCCCGGTCTCTGCGCCTGTAGAGATTATACCAATTTTAAACAGATTTAGCGTCAAAGAACAAAGACTTATTTAGATTTTCAGATTACACAACAGGACCATGGTAACTCCCCTAAAAGTCATTTATAAGATTTTGTTGATATTTGTCAGAACTTTGAATATATTTTAAAGTTAAGTTACTTTTTCTGTGTTTGTATTTACCATTCTTGCTATTAAATTAAACGTGGTGGAAATACACCACTTGTTAAAAATCAGGTCTTAAAACTTCAAGTCCTATTCCGCTAGCCAGACCTAAAAAGTTACTTGCCATTGCAAGCCTGAAAAGTCAATGGAACCGTCACCGCAGCTAAGTTTCCCCTCGCCAATATCTAGGAAAAAAACATTTGATTCAATTATTTGTTTTAAGGACTACCTGAAGCTGGGTAATGGTAGCCATCCGGGCAGAAGCCAAGCTGCGTGTGTGAAACCTCCATCCAGATCTGCATATAGTTGTGCCACTTTTTCATTGAGAAGGTTCCGAATCTCCTTCCCATGTAGGCATCGACTGGCTGTCAGGATGATCAGTTCTGAAAGAGCCTCAAATAAATCTAGAAGGCGGGGTGAGAAAAAACATCATAAAATAAATGAACCAACTGCCTCAGAGAAAGAATATAAAATCAAGTTACTAACAATTTGTTCAAAAGTAACAATATATACAAATGGGAACGGATGCTATGTCACAGGATCTTCACAAGAAGTGAACAATAAGTAGTTTATCAGCATTACTCTATGAAGTGTGGCTCAGAGCTCAAAATCTTAAAGCAGTGGAAGAAAAAACACAATTTGTTCCATTAATTCCTAGCAGCATGTGGCTTGTGTTTGACTGTCCCTTTAACCCCTTAAGGACCAAACTTCTGGAATAAAAGGGAATCATGACATGTCACGTGTCCTTAAGGGGTTAAGATTATAGTCTTCTCTGCTCCAAATTAACAAAAATCAAAACTTGTGACAACATCATGATTTCAAAATTAGCAAATTCTAAATTTATCATGAAAATGATAAAATATTATAATTTAACATACTTCCGCTGACTACAAATAGTTCTCAAGACAAAGCTGTTTAACTCGGCGGCACTTTGAATGGAAAGACACTGCTTCCTAATACCTGCTAATGTTCTCTTTATTAAGGGGATCAGCGAATATTTAACAGCATTGTACAACTCATAATACTCAGGTTATGGCCACAAGGAATACATCAAAGGAGAAAACGTATAAGGAAAGGGATAGCAATGAAACATAAATGCATGATGCAAACAATCTGTAAAAGTCCATGCAGAAGAGGCAGCTGTAAGCGGAGGTGTGTGCAGCTAACAAACATCATAGTGTTGTAATACATCACAATTCTTACTTCCAACTCCACTGTCCCCCCAGCGCTTGAAGTACTCCTCGGTCTCCTCTTCAATCATCCTCACGTGGGTTTTGAAATGAGCGATGTTTAGTCCAGTTTTCAGCATTTTTTTCTGTTCCAAAAAGATCTGTCAAAATTCAAAACATAAAGAAAGTAATTACATTTTTGTGTAATTTTATAGCCATCAGGTCATCTTTTTAAAGGGACACTCCACAAACACACCACGTGGTGCATTTGACAAAACATATTAAAAAACTTAAAGGGACACTATAGTCACCTGAACAACTACAGCTTATTGAATTTGTTCTCGTGAGTAGAATCATTACTATCAGGCTTTTTGCTGTAAACACTGTCTTTTCAGAGAAAATGCAGTGTTTACATTACAGCCTAGTGATAACTTCACTGGCCACTCCTTAGATGGCTGTTAGAGATCCTTCCTGGGTCATGGCTGCCTAAAATGCATCCAAACATTCAGTATCTCCTCCCTCTGCATGCAGACACTGAACTTTCCTTATAGAGATTCCTTGATTCAATTCATCTCTATGAGGAGATGCTGATTGGCCAGGGCTGTGTTTGAATCATGCTGGCCCTCCCCTGATCTGCCTCTTTGTCAGTCTCAGCCAATTCTGATGATGTCAGCAGACTGCTTGTTTGGTTTTTTTTTTTAGGCAAACAGCATGCAGAGTTACAGCTTCAGGCTTGAATACAGTAAGATTTTGCTATATTTGTGGAGGCATGAGGGGCCCAGCTGGTCTAGATGATGGTTTTAACACTATGGGGTCAGGAATACGTGTTTGTTTTCCTGACCCTATAGTGATCCTTTAAACCCCTTAACCCCTTAAGGACACAGCTTCAGAAGCTTGACTTACGCTTAATGACACAAGCAATTTTTGCATTTTCTTGCTGTTTGCGTTCAACTGCAATTTGCATCTCTCTCATTTATTGCACCGACACATATTATATACTGTTTTTTAAAGGACAGAAAGGGCTTTAATTTGATATAACATTATATATATATATATATATATATATATATATATATATATATATATATATATATATATATATATATATATATATATATATATATACACACATACATACATACATACATACATACATACATACACATATACATACACACACACACAGGTGTGCAGAATTATTAGGCAAGTTGTATTTTTGAGGATTAATTTTATTATTGAACAACAACCATGTTCTCAATGAACCCAAAAAACTCATTAATATCAAAGCTGAATATTTTTGGAAGTAGTTTTTAGTTTGTTTTTAGTTTTAGCTATGTTAGGGGGATATCTGTGTGTGCAGGTGACTATTACTGTGCATAATTATTAGGCAACTTAACAAAAAACAAATATATACCCATTTCAATTATTTATTATTACCAGTGAAACCAATATAACATCTCAACATTCACAAATATACATTTCTGACATTCAAAAACAAAACAAAAACAAATCAGTGACCAATATAGCCACCTTTCTTTGCAAGGACACTCAAAAGCCTGCAATCCATGGATTCTGTCAGTGTTTTGATCTGTTCACCATCAACATTGCGTGCAGCAGCAACCACAGCCTCCCAGACACTGTTCAGAGAGGTGTACTGTTTTCCCTCCTTGTAAATCTCACATTTGATGATGGACCACAGGTTCTCAATGGGGTTCAGATCAGGTGAACAAGGAGGCCATGTCATTAGATTTTCTTCTTTTATACCCTTTCTTGCCAGCCACACTGTGGAGTACTTGGACGCGTGTGATGGAGCATTGTCCTGCATGAAAATCATGTTTTTCTTGAAGGATGCAGACTTCTTCCTGTACCACTGCTTGAAGAAGGTGTCTTCCAGGAACTGGCAGTAGGACTGGGAGTTGAGCTTGACTCCATCCTCAACCCAAAAGGCCCCACAAGCTCATCTTTGATGATACCAGCCCAAACCAGTACTCCACCTCCACCTTGCTGGCGTCTGAGTCGGACTGGAGCTCTCTGCCCTTTACCAATCCAGCCACGGGCCCATCCATCTGGCCCATCAAGACTCACTCTCATTTCATCAGTCCATAAAACCTTAGAAAAATCAGTCTTGAGATATTTCTTGGCCCAGTCTTGACGTTTCAGCTTGTGTGTCTTGTTCAGTGGTGGTCGTCTTTCAGCCTTTCTTACCTTGGCCATGTCTCTGAGTATTGCACACCTTGTGCTTTTGGGCACTCCAGTGATGTTGCAGCTCTGAAATATGGCCAAACTGGTGGCAAGTGGCATCGGGCAGCTGCACGCTTGACTTTTCTCAGTTCATGGGCAGTTATTTTGCGCCTTGGTTTTTCCACACGCTTCTTGCGACCCTGTTGACTATTTTGAATGAAACGCTTGATTGTTCGATGATCACGCTTCAGAAGCTTTGCAATTTTAAGAGTGCTGCATCCCTCTGCAAGATATCTCACTATTTTTGACTTTTCTGAGCCTGTCAAGTCCTTCTTTTGACCCATTTTGCCAAAGGAAAGGAAGTTGCCTAATAATTATGCACACCTGATATAGGGTGTTGATGTCATTAGACCACACCCCTTCTCATTACAGAGATGCACATCACCTAATATGCTTAATTGGTAGTAGGCTTTCGAGCCTATACAGCTTGGAGTAAGACAACATGCATAAAGAGGATGATGTGGTCAAAATACTAATTTGCCTAATAATTCTAATTTCCCTGTGTGTGTGTATGATGTGTATGTATATATATATATATATATATATATATATATATATATATATATATATATATATATATATATATATATATACACACACACACACATATATATATATATACTTACTTATTATAAAAAAAATACAGAAAAATGCAAAAAAAATGAAAAATATTGTTTTGTTTTTTTTACAGTTTTTGCAATAATAATGTGTGCATAATTAGTGCAGGTTAAGGAAAGTAATTAAAAATAAATTTATTTATTTGTTCTGATTTACAGAATATATAATGTGTCTGGGATTTTAAGTTTTTTTTTGGTAGTTACAGGTCACAAAGCACAAGGAGTAAAATAAACTTTTAATGTGGAGCGATTTTAGAATTTGGTATGTTTGTCTTGTAAGCTTAATAGCCATAAAAGAAAACAAAATTGCCACACAAAAGTATATATTTATATAAAGTAGACATCACGGGCTATTTACCTAAGGTTGTTTTGACACTTTCTACGTAGCCATTTCACCGCCAACCTCTGCTAAATATTGGAGTAAAATTGTGTTCTTTTTGGTTTTTGGCACACAAACTTATAACAGAGAAATTCTCGTGTATATTTTGTAAAGTTGGTGTGTGCTATTCCTGTACAAAGTTTTATTTTGTGTTCAGTTACATCTGCTGAGTAAAATGACACCCCCATTGTATGTCTTTTGCACTATTTCGTGAAGTTACAGTGCCATACAGGATACCTGTCCTTTTCAGTATTCACAGTAGAATTTTGAGAGATGGATTTAATGAGCCTTAGCTTCCATTTGGGGTATTATAACAGTTTGACTGTTCAAAAACCCCCCACAAAGGCCTACCATTTGTAAAAGTAGACACTCCAGGGTATCTTATAAGGTGCATATTGTGCCTTAACATGCCCCCATTTTTTCACCAATATATGCCAAAGTATGTGGTAAAAAATAATTTTGTGCATTTTTTACATACGGATTGCATTTTTGCTGGGCGTTTTGTATATTTCATATGTGCCACTAAGTTCAAACCCCCAAATTATGCTCAGCTAAGTCTTCTGAGTAAAATGACACCCCATATGAATGTCTTTGGCACTATTTCGTGAAGCTACAGTGCCATATAGGAGACCTGTCCTTTACAGTATTCACAGTAGAATTTTGAGAGATGGATTTAATGAGCCTTAGCTTCCATTTGGGGTATTATAACAGTTTGACTGTTCAAAAACCCCCCACAAAGGCCTACCATTTGTAAAAGTAGACACTCCAGGGTATCTCATAAGGTGCATATTGTGCCTTAACATACCCCCATTTTTTCACCAATATATGCCAAAGTATGTGGTAAAAAATAATTTTGTGCATTTTTTACATACGGATTGCATTTTTGCTGGGCGTTTTGTATATTTCATATGTGCCACTAAGTTCAAACCTCCCAAATTATACTCAGCTAAGTCTTTTGAGTAAAAATACACCCCCAATGAATGTCTTTGTCACTATTTTGTGAAGCTACAGTGCCATATAGGAGACCAAGCCATATCCGTTTTTACCAAACTTTGAATTTTGACGCTGGGCCTATGTGCAATTTCCAAGCATCTTCGCAGGTTTTAAATTCAAACTACCCCACAAAGGCCTACCATTTCTTAAAGTAGACACCCCAGGGTGTTTCAAAAGGTATAGTTTGAACCTTAGCGTGGGATCATTTTTCCGCTAGCTTGTACCAGATGTAGTGGTAATAAGCGTTTTTTCTGCCTTTTTGACATACAAAGTGAGTTTGCACAATATATTTTGCAAACCTTATGTGTGCTACAGTACCTCATATGTACAAGTTTTATGGTATTTTGGGAAGTTACAGGTAGGGATCGACCGATTATCGGTTTTACCTATATAATCGGCCGATATTCTGTATTTTCGACAATATCGGTATCGGCTAATTCAGATACCGATATTGCCAATAATACCTCCTAGGACCGCCAGGCTCATTACAAGCCCGGCAGTCCTGGGGGGGGGGGCGGGCATCAAGCATTTACTCACCTCCCAGCAGCTCCTCCAGCCCCCCCTCCACCCCCAGCTCAGCCAATGCCACTGGACCACCAGGGACTGCTATTTCCCCCCTCCCTGGCCAAGAAACAAGCAGGGAGGGGGGACAACAAAAATAATAATTAAATATTAAAAAAAAAAAATTTTAATTAAAAATGCCCCCTCACACACACACTCCATTATATACACATACACTACACAAACACACTGTGTATATAATGCAGTGTGTGTGTGTGTGTGTGTGTGTGTGTATATAATGCACACTACACACACACACACACACTACACACACACACACACACACACACACTATACAAACACACTGTGTATATAATGCAGTGTGTGTAGTGTGTGTGTATATATAATGCAGTGTGTGTAGTGTGTATATATATAATGCAGTGTGTGTAGTGTGTTTATATAATGCACACTACACAAACACACTGCATTATATACACACACACTATACAAACACACACTGCATTATATACACACACTATACAAACACACTGTGTATATAATGCTGTGTGTTTGTGCAGTGTGTGTATATAATGCAGTGTGTTTGTGCAGTGTGTGTGTGTGTGTATATAATGCAGTGTGTGTTTGCATAGTGTGTTTATATAATGCACACTACACACACACACACACTGCATTATATAAACACACTACATTCATTATATACACACACACACACACACACACACACACTTTGCATTTAGTATATACTGCATTCACTTTACGCACACTACCCACACACTACACAAACACTCTGCTTTCATTATATACACACACTACACTAATACACACTGCATCCACTACACACTACACAAACACACACTGCATCCACTACACAAACACACACTGCATCCACTACACAAACACACACTGCATCCATAACACACTACACAAACACACACTGCATCCACTACACAAACACACACTGCATCCACTACACACACTACACAAACACATACAGCTCCCCTGTCTAAACACACTGCATCCACTACACGTGGCATGTATATTTTGTGCATTTACCTTTAGAAATAGTTTTTATTTTCCAAAATGGTAAATGTACAGAATATCGGCAAATTATATCAGCTATCGGCCTGAAAGTTCACAGAATATCGGTATCGACTCTAAAAAAAATAAAAATAAATCAATATCGGTCGATCCCTAGTTACAGGGTTAAATATAGCATGTTACATTTTAAATTGAAATTCGCCAGATTGGTTACGTTGCCTTTGAGACTGTATAGTAGCCCAGGAATTTACACCCATAATGGCATACCATTTGCAATAGTAGACAACCCAAGGTATTGCAAATGGAGGATGTCCAGTCCTTTTTAGTAGCCATCTTGGTCACAAACACTGGCCAAAGTTAGCGTTAGTATTTGTTTGTGTGTGAAAAATGCAAAAAACGCCAATTTTGCCCAGTGTTTGTGACTAAGTGGCTACTAAAAAAGACTGGACATACCCCATTTGCAATACCTTTGGTTGTCTGCTATTGCAAATGGTATGCCATCATAGAGGTAATTTTCATTCTTGGGCTACCATAGTGTCTCAAAGGCAATGTAACCAATCTGGCGAATTTTAATGTGAAAAAAAAAAAAAAAAAACTCAAATCTTTTTTTTTTCACATTAAACAAATATTTGTGTTTCAAAACAGTAAAAAGTATCACAGCAATAATATCGTCCGCGTAAGTGCTGTTTGTGCGTGAAAAATGCAAATAACTTCACTTTTACTGGCGATATCATCATTGTAATACATTTTACTGTTTTGAAACACTAATATTTGTGTTCAGCGAAGTCTCCCGAGTAAAACATGTACAGGTTTTATGGTGTCTTGGAAAGTTATAGGGTTAAATATAGTGCTAGCAAATTAAATTCCGTTTACTTTTGGCTTGGGTTGTCAGGCAGGTCCCACTAATTGTAATTAATTACTATACCTAATTATGTAAAAATATTACACAAATATATATGTAGAATATATTATTTCGTTCTACGTGTATTTTGATATAAATATATATTAATATCACAATACAGTTAGAACGAAATAACACATCTATATATTTTTTTAATTTTATTTAACGTATTTACATATTTTTTTTTAATATTATATATATTTAGAACAATAATTATATATATAAATCAGTATCAGTCTACATGTAATTTGATAATATATATATATATTTATTAATAGTAAAATACACCTAGACAGTGTGTGAGATATATATAGATAGATATATATATATATATAATTTTTTTATTTTTTTATTATGATCTAAGTATATTATTATTATTATTTTTTACACTGATTTTAATTTTATTTCATTTCTAGCCAGCAGGGGGATTAACTGTCATTACAGGCAGTCCCCCTGCTGGAAATGCAGCAGCCAGCTAATCTGGCCATGTGATTGTGAGGTCACTCTCACATGGCCGGGGAGGCCGTAGGTGGAAGGAACCCGCCGCGGGGGACTCCCTGGGATCCCAGGTAAGTCTCCCGACCGCGGGCGTGAGATCGCCGGCGACCGTGTAAATAAGAAAACCGGAGGGCATACTATTACGCCCTGCGGCGTTTAGAGCCACTTAGAATAGGGCATAATAGTACGCCCTCCGGTTTTAAAGGGTTAAGGACCAAACTTCTGGAATAAAAAGGGAATCATGTCATGTCACACATGTCGTGTCCTTAAGGGGTTAAGGATTTTTTTTTTTTGCATGACATCAGACATAGTGAGACAACAAATGCAAAAACTATAACGCATTGCTTTCCATAAACCCCTGCTCAGGGACATGTGCCTTGTGTGTATTATTGGTAAAAAAACAAACAAAAAAAAAAAAAACACACAAACAGGTGGCAATTCACGCTTTTGTGAATTACCCAATTACACATTTCCAAGAGTTAAGGGTCAAAGAAAAGAAAAAAATGAGGGGGTTTGTTCGGAGGAAGGGGGTTGAAATGTTGCATTCAAAATGGCATTTCTATGATTTATGTGTGTGTGTGTGTCTGGGAAATGTGTGAAAATTTGGGACATAAGCACTGAGAGATAATTAAAATGTTGAATTGACCTTAATAAAACTTCAGAAAGAAGAGCCATGGGATTAAATGATTCCTGCAGGTCATTTACTACATTTTTATTTTCATTTTTTCAAATTAATGGAAAACCTAAAGAAAAAAAAAAAAATAGCTGAAGGAGGAAAATTCTCTATCTCAGCTAAAACCACAACTTTCCATTTGGATTTTATTTATAAAGTTTGGTGAATAACCCTATATGTTTGCTTATTTTTCACAATATCAAGTCAGAATACATTTTGAAACACTATTATATTAATATACATTCAGGATTTAAAGAACTCGATTGTGCTAAAAAAGACAGAAAGTAACAAAGCCCCTTTAACTGTTGGACTGTTTTATTGTTTTTTCGTTTTTTTTAAAGTTAACCTTACATATAACCGTTTCTTACATTTTGTATGTAAATTAAATCTAAACTCAAAACTAATGAAAAATAATAATAATAATAATGGTGGTGTATTTAATGGTATCTAAAATCTTACCGGATTAGGAACATCGTAGGCAACTCCTTTGCCAAAGACTGGCGTAGTCAACCTAGAGTATACATCTTCGGCATTCAGATCCTCATTTTTACTGTTAAAGAGCAAGGCGGCTGCGTCACTACCTACCAGGTAAGTGAAGGTTTTGCCCACCATAGTGAAACTGAACACTGGTCCATACTGCAAAAGAAAACCAATTGTTTTAAATTTATAAACAGAAAATAAAATTGGCCAAGACAGAGAATATAACTGACACAAAAGCAATATTTAATGGGAATCATTATTGCCTTAACATTCATCTAATTAATGGTACATAGTGAAAAGCTGATCAACAAGCACAATAACTTGCTATATGTTAGCAAAGCATCAAGGGAAATGTAGTTTTCAACAACAGTCAATGATGTCAGGAAGAAGTGACAAATGACAGGCATACTCTATCACAATCCAACTGCACATATGTTTTTATATCATACTGGCATTTACGTTATTTAAGTACTTTTATATGATCAGTATCTAATTACGTATATTTATTAAACAACAACAATTTCAAATACAAAAGGGATAAATTTAAATTGAGTCCCTGCTCGAATTAACCCCACACTGTCAGGAAATCATGTGATCATGATGCCAGGGTCCTCTCAAAATATTTTTTTTTCTCTCACCAGTAAAAAAAGTTTTAAAAGAAATAAGCCACAACAAAAAGGCTACAGATCCGCTTTGAAATAAACAAAACTTTTTATGCATAGAAATATTCCAAGTGGCAAAATAAATTAGTTTAACTAAAAGAAGTGCTTCTTTCTCAAACCTAGACAATCAATGTGTTACATCTGCCTTACAATGTGTGTAGTAAAAGGAAAATAAAGTGATGAAATAGACTTACCTTTTCATATGCATTTTCTAGGAAATCGATTGGGCTTTTACCAAAGGATATGGCGTGTCCCAGAAAAGGTATAGATGATGAAATAAATGGAGGGTATTTCTGTAGCAAAAGAGGACACACATTTTACAGTGAGGTCACATTTCCCAGACATACACACACACACACACACACACATATAAAACATAGATATGCCATTTTAAATGCAACTTTTCAACCCCCTTCCTCCTAACAAAAGAAAATAAAATAAAACGTTTTCCTTTCCCTTTAACTCTTGAAATATTTCTTAGTGAGATATAGATCTCCTGTTTTCATGCAAATAGCATGTAAAAAAAAAAAAAAAAAGCGATACACTAGCAGGAGCCAGTATCGAATGCTTTTGGTCCATAATCACTGACATATTGTGGGCATTAACAAACTATAGACTCTGAGCAGGATGGGAACTGCCAATCTTTGGGCCATGAACTACTGGCAAACAGACAGATGTTGGTAGAGGATCGGTGTCCAAATTGAGGTTCTCTAGTTTTACAGGTTTAGGATGGAGTTACACATGATTCTGACAAACATGAGCTTCCTCTGAATATGTGATTCCAAATCATAGATGTTTACCATGTCTTTCAATGAGGTTGCTTTATCCCCAACCACACAAAGTGAACCCACAATGTGGAAGATGATGACCCTTTTTCATTATAGACACTTTCTCGATTATCTTTGAATATACAATGAGATTGAGGACCTTGTCCACTAAAACCAGAAAACTTACACAATTCAATCTGTAATTAGATGGTAAAGGTTTAAAAGGTTACTCCAAGCCAATGCATGGAAGTGGAAGACCCTGTACGTGCAGCTTTTCACTATGAAACACTGTGCATATTTAGATATATTACCGAGTTCCCAAGCTAGCTAAAGACAATGATGTGCATTTTCCCAGCTGATGGCGTTCAGCCAATGAACGAGCAGCAGGATTAGCATCCATGTTCTGCAATAGCCAGATATGACCGTGTCGACATTAGGGGAGGCTCTGGTAACGGGGAAACCACTGCAAAACACTTTGCCCAATTAGGAGTAGGTTGTAACATGTATAATGCTCAGAGTAACCCTTTAAACTCTGCTGTCCTACATCTTGAAATGTGGTTGCCAGTTAAACACAGATCAGAGTTCAATGATGAATACACCCATCTGACTTTGCAAGGACTACAGCAAATAAACTGTTAAATTATTGGACAATACACATACCGCGTTGTCGGTGTCAATAGTGCTTAAATGTTTGAAGGCCAGCTTCGACAGATATGCCAAGAGGAGAAGAAAGGTAACTGGAAGCAGGACACGAGATGCCACACTGCCTCCAACAGCTTCTTCAAGCAGGGCACCCCCTGCCTGCCACAGACTCACCAGCATGGTTGCCTGTTGGAGAAATACTTGCCATTTAGATTTTTGTTACTACATGTGAAAAGCTGCAGTAATCGAAGTGTCACTTGGTCCAACATATCACTCCTTTCCAAACTGAGCCCATCAATCAAATATTTTACACAAATGGCTGAAGGTACAAATTACAAGGAATATGGAGATACTCAGGATTATTAACTAAAGTGAGAACTCAATGTGAATTTAAAATTTAATTCCAGAGTATTGGAACTAAAAACATAATGGACTCAGATCATTTTGCCAGTTCAGCTATTTTAACCTTAAATTTGAAATTAATTTTGAATTCTCCTTGTACTCGAACTTTAGTAAATAACCCATCTGATTTCAAAATAGAACTGCAAAATTTAGGGTAGAATACCAGATTTAGAAAACTTCTCTATTTTAAGCATAGTTGCATTCTGGCTATTGTAAGTTATAGTTTGCAATTTGATTTTCAATTCACTTCCCTTCCCTTAGGTCAATGGTTCAAGAAGAAACATTCCAAGCACCATAAACACTACATATTCTTGTAGTGATTATGGCGTCAGTCCTTATATGGATATATACACCGTATGATGCATTCTGACAGTTATTACCTGGGTAGATATACTGTCTGCCTGTTTTTACCTAGATAGATATACGGTATGATACAAAAGAATAAAAAAAATTTAAAAAATCTGGCGCAACCTTTATCCCCTCTGTTAGACTCATATGGTATGATACAGTCAGTCTGTCCTTACCTGGGTATATACACAGTGTGATGCTGTCAGTCAGTCTGTCCTTACCTGGGTATATACACAGTGTGATGCAGTCAGTCAGTCAGTCTGTCCTTACCTGGGTATATACACAGTGTGATGCTGTCAGTCTGTCTGTCTGTCCTTACCTGGGTATATACACAGTGTGATGCTGTCAGTCAGTCAGTCTGTCTGTCCTTACCTGGGTATATACACAGTGTGATGCTGTCAGTCAGTCTGTCTGTCCTTACCTGGGTATATACACAGTGTGATGCTGTCAGTCAGTCAGTCTGTCCTTACCTGGGTATATACACAGTGTGATGCTGTCAGTCAGTCAGTCTGTCTGTCCTTACCTGGGTATATACACAGTGTGATGCAGTCAGTCAGTCAGTCAGTCAGTCTGTCCTTACCTGGGTATATACACAGTGTGATGCTGTCAGTCAGTCAGTCTGTCCTTACCTGGGTATATACACAGTGTGATGCAGTCAGTCAGTCTGTCTGTCCTTACCTGGGTATATACACAGTGTGATGCAGTCAGTCAGTCAGTCTGTCCTTACCTGGGTATATACACAGTGTGATGCTGTCAGTCAGTCTGTCTGTCCTTACCTGGGTATATACACAGTGTGATGCTGTCAGTCAGTCAGTCTGTCCTTACCTGGGTATATACACAGTGTGATGCTGTCAGTCAGTCTGTCAGTCTGTCCTTACCTGGGTATATACACAGTGTGATGCTGTCAGTCAGTCTGTCAGTCTGTCCTTACCTGGGTATATACACAGTGTGATGCAGTCAGTCAGTCAGTCAGTCTGTCCTTACCTGGGTATATACACAGTGTGATGCAGTCAGTCAGTCAGTCAGTCAGTCTGTCCTTACCTGGGTATATACACAGTGTGATGCTGTCAGTCAGTCAGTCTGTCCTTACCTGGGTATATACACAGTGTGATGCAGTCAGTCAGTCAGTCTGTCCTTACCTGGGTATATACACAGTGTGATGCTGTCAGTCAGTCTGTCTGTCTGTCCTTACCTGGGTATATACACAGTGTGATGCTGTCAGTCTGTCCCTCCAGCTCTCAGTAATGGAGATCCTGCTCTCAGGTTGTCTTTGCAGTTAGTAAGGTAGGGGGGCGGAGCTCAGCAGCTGCTGTCAGTAAAACCCAGCCCACTGACAACGAGGACACGCCCACACAATGTGCCGATTTACTCCGCCCAGACCGCCCGGCAGAGTCCGCTCTCTGTACTGGTTGGAAGGCGGAGGGATCACGCCGCACGTGACCCGCTATTGGCTGCTGGCGGGAAGGCGGAGTGATTCTGTGTAAAGAGGCGGACACACAGACGCCCCTACGCCGGGCTGGTGAGTGTTGCCTTGTGGAACCGCGCTCTGATTGGCTAATGCGAGCTGAACTGATGTCTGCCTATCTGACGTCACGAGCGCTCGGCCTAATCCGCAGAGCGGCTGGCGTGAGAGGCGGTGAAGTCAGTCAGTCAGTAAAAGGGCGGGCAGGCGGTGTGGACGTGACCCGCGTTATAGTGAGAGTGAGCTTTATACAGAGACAGGCATGGACTCTGTTCACACACACAGTGACACCCAGCAATGTTTAAACCGGAATTCATAATTCGGAAACAGCTGAAGTAGAGCTGGTGACATAATTAAAGGGTCAGGCTTGGCACCATAACCACTGCATGCTGGTGTAGTGGTTATGGTGCCATTAGGTGGCGTTGTCGGGACCCTTGTTCCAGAACCAGCAGGATGTCCCCAATCAGCGCCAGCGTATCCATGTGTTTTTATTTATCACCGGAATTTATAAAGCGCTAACGTATTCAGCAGCGCTGTACAATAAGGGGAGACCGTACAATATACGCAGGCCAGTGGCGTACATACCACGGTCGCAGCATGGATTGTGTGTACGCCACTGACGCAGGCCAATACAAAAGGTAAAGAGGGCCCTATCCGTGAGCTGAGATCTAGCCATTGAGGCCCAGTAGACATGTTTGTATATAGAGGCCAGAAAGGCGGACAGTAGCCAAGTGTGCACAGTGCGTACATTACCTTTTTTGGTGGGATTTTCATTGCCACTATTTATTTAACCCATCCATCCCGCGTCCCATACATCCAATGATGGAATGGTGTCAGGTTTCATGTCAAACCATTTTTGAGGGGCTTAACATAAACAAGAGGAGTCAACAGTACATACCAATAAACATTAACCACCTCTAGTTAAAGGACCACTCTAGGCACCCAGACCACTTCAGCTTAATGAAGTGGTCTGGGTGCCAGGTCCAGCTAGGGTTAACCCATTTTTTTTTTTTTATAAACATAGCAGTTTCAGAGAAACTGCTATGTTTATGAATGGGTTAAGCCTTCCCCCTAATCCTCTAGTGGCTGTCTCACTGACAGCCACTAGAGGCGCTTGCGTGCTTCTCACTGTGATTTTCACAGTGAGAGCACGCCAGCGTCCATAGAAAAGCATTGTAAATGCTTTCCTATGCGACGGGCTGAATGCGCGCGCAGCTCTTGCCGCGCGTGCGCATTCAGCCGGCGGGGCGTAACGGAGGCGGAGAGGAGGAGGAGAGCTCTCCGCCCAGCGCTGGAAAAAGGTAAGTTTTTACCCCTTTCCCCTTCCAGAGCCGGGCGGGAGGGGGTCCCTGAGGGTGGGGGCACCCTCAGGGCACTATAGTGCCAGGAAAACGAGTATGTTTTCCTGGCACTATAGTGGTCCTTTAAGTCAATTAAATATGTATAAAGTGATGTAAAAGAGCAGGAAGCGGAGTGACAACCCCCACCCCCAAGATGATCTAAGTGAGGGTATAAGTGGTGTAAGATGACCCACAAACCTAATAGTGTAGTATTTGAAATGATATGTTTTAACCCCTTCACTACCTAGCTCTTTTTGATTAGAATATATATTTATATTAGCATAGCATTTATTTGTAAGTAAGGGTTGCATAGATAAAACAATTACATAAGAATATGCAAAAATATCAGTGAAGAGGCTCACTGATGGCTTCATTTTTTCACATTTTATTATGTTGCAGCCATATGCTACAATAAACAAAGAACAAAGAGTAGAGTCAGCGCTAATATATCAGAAAGAGATACAAAAGGCAGCAATCCCAAACAAGGACTCCCTCACGTGTCCTTGAGATAAATAGGGGAGCGCCCAGCTTCAAGTCAATCTTAACTTCCAACTTTACTAGGGAGGATGTTGCAAAACCTCAATCCCGCCTCCTACCCAATACCAAAGGGTTCTTTAAGTGCAAACGTTGTAAAGTTTGTAAATCCACCAACCAGTCCACCAAATCCAAAACCACACAATTCAAATCAAATAAAACCAACAAAACATATATTAAAGACAGGGCCGTCTTTAACGCGGGGCAAACGGGGCAGCTGCCCCGGGCCCAGTTTCTCTTGGGGGGCCCGAGGCACCTGCCCTGCTGACCCCGGCGGGCGGGTGGCCGGTCGGGCAGGAAGGCGGGCCCGCGAGGGAGCACTCACTGCTTCCTCTTCAGCCGCACTATGCGGCGCGCGAGGGAGCTGAAGAGGAAGCAGTGAGTGCTCCCTCGCGCGCCCGCCTTCCTGCCCGACCGGCCACCCGCCCAGGAGCCCAGCAGCACCACTGGACCCCAGGGAATCCCCCAGCACTCCAAAGGTAAGGAGGCTGGGGTTACGACTAAAAAATAAATGTGTGTATATATGTGTGTTAGTGTATGTGTGTTTGTGTGTTAGATGTATGTGTGTGTGTGTCAGCATGTCTGTGTGTGTCAGTATGTCTGTGTGTGTGTGTCAGTATGTCTGTCTGTCTGTCTGTGTGTCAGTATATATGTGTGTGTATATCTGTGTGTGTCAGTATGTGTATGTGTCAGTATGTCTGTCAGTGCGTCAATATGTCTGTTAGTGCATGTGTATGCATGTGTCAGTATATCTGTCTGTGTGCCAGTATGTCTGTGTGTGTGTGTGTGTGTGTCAGTATATCAGTCTGTGTGTGTCAGTGTATGTGCCTGTGTGTCAGTATTTCTCAGTGTATGTGGGTGTCAGTATTTCTGTAAGTGTATGTGTGTCAGTATGTTGATCAGTGTATGTGTCTGTGTGTGTGTGTCAGTATGTCGGTATATGTGTCTGTGTGTCAGTATGTCTGTATATGTGCCTGTGTCAGTATGTCTGTCAGTACGTCTACCAGTGTATGTGTCTGTGTGTGTGTCAATATATGTACCTGTGTCAGTGTGTCTGTCAGTGTATGTGCCTGTTTATCTGTATGTAGTCAGTGTTTGTATCTGCTTGTGCGTCAGAGTGTGTACCTGTGCATCTGAGCCGCAACTTTAAATACAAATACACCCCTCCATTCAAACTTCAACACTACTACAAGCACACTCCTACATTCAAAAACAAACACTACACATAAATGCACACTTGCATTCAAACTCCAATACCACATACAAACACATTCACACAAACATACTCCATACAAACACATGCTTACATTCAAACATACTAACATGGCTCAGTGCTAAATACAACCCTGCAAGCATGGGAAATCGGTAGAGTCCCAGCTGTCAAAGCATTGTTGGAGTTGCACGACAGATGGGGTTCTACCTTTAGTCCAACCTTGCAATTGGGGGTCCCAATAAAATTCATTCTACTTTAGTACCGCCACTGCGTTGGGATGCGTTGGGATGCCGTGATTGCATACCAGGGAGTGAGGGGCGAGAGCGGCAGGGCACAGGGGGCCCAAGCAAACACTTGCCCAGGGTCCATTCGTTATTAAAGACGGCCCTGATTAAAGATTTTATCACCTGTGCATCTAATAATGTAATTTATCTCCTGGAATGCCCATGTGGTTTACAATACATAGGCATGACCACAAGGAGCCTAAAAACGAGATTAGGCAAAACAACACTGTATCCAAACACTTTTCTATCCATAATAACGATCCAGGCCATTTAAAATGTATTGGTATAAAAAAAATGTACTATTCCATGGAGAGGAGGCAATATAAAAAATATTTTGGGAAAATGTGAAATGGAATGGGTTTTTAACTTAAAAACCTTAACCCCAAATTGTTTAAATGCTGACTTATTTAATTTTATATAATATTATATTGTGGTGGAATCTCGGTAAAAATAAATTTAGTAGGCCGAGATTACCACGTGGCATGTGTACGTGCATATGCTGACGTATCGATCAGTTGGTTGCACGAGGCAAGATACGATCAGTAGTGTACGGAGCATGTGCAAGAATACAGGATGTAGTATTCCCCTCCTCCATTGTGCTGGACAAGCCATGCGGTCAAGCAGGAAGTTAATTCTTATTTGTAATGATTGGTCAAGAGAATGTGCGGGTGGAGCTTAATATGGGAGGAGTTATGTGCCTATATAGGGAGCCTGCACTATTGTTCAGGGCTCAGAACTTGCTGTATTTTTGGTGACATTAGTCCCTCTGAGTCCCGATCGGTGATCCAATAAAGAATCTCTTCCTTCCTGAAGAAACCTGTGTCCATCCCTCTGTGCTTTGCTTCCGTCAGTTTCTCCGGTATCATTTGGTGCATTGGCCGGGAAGCTCATCGTTCAACGGTAGCTGAGAGGCAGAGGCGTGAGACGGTCTATCTTTGCCCACGTTCTCTACGGCTGCACCCCTGAACTTCTGCGTGGACCTCCCTTCGTCTCGGCGCCACTGGTCTGTTGTCCAGGAGATCATCGGCCTCTACGTAAGAAGTGCTGGGGTGTCCCGTCGATGAGTGTGAACTCAGGTTCAGGAACGAGGAGGTAAGACAACTGCTGTTTTAGACGGCAGACCCACTAGGGGTATACCGATTGTGCGGTAGGCCCAAAAGGGGTTTAAATCTGTGTATGGAATCTGCCCCTCTGTCGGAGGGAAGGAGCGAAGGCGCACCGCTCGATCGAACGCTCTTTAGTAAGACCGTTTGATCTGGTTAGTCAGGCGGGGTCCTGTGTAAATAGCCCTAGCCGGACACCGGTGTCTTGTCTAGACTAGCGTTCTAGGGTGTATATTACGTTCGCTAGGTCGGAGGGACCGGGAGACTAAGCGGCGCCTGTGTAAATTCGGTTCGCTAGCTCTCAACCTATCTTGGCTAAGTGGGAAGGCGTGTAAATTTGGAAC